CTGACGAGATATCTTTCAGGAAAGTTTTTTCCTGATATACTCCGCACCTTTGGGGGTTAGATGGTACCATCCTGCATCAAGACTGATAAATCCCTCACCAATCAGTTCTATGATAGCAGCTTGCGCCTTAGCCCTTGACGCGTCGTCCCATTTTTCTATCTTTCTGTTCATTGCCAGTTCTTCGATGGCATAATTCTCCAGCACTTTTTCCCTGAATATCTCCAGTACTTTGTCTTTTGTGATCAGCATTTACTTTTTGTTAAACCGGATGATTAAATCTATTGGGACAGTTGCTCAAATTCACGGTAAGGATACCGAAGTTAATATGAGCTTGCAGGATCCCTATAATAAACAAGACTGTCTTCCTGAAGGAAAAGATCGGGCATAGTTTTTCTATCACCAAATATAGCTTAAAACCGGCAAAGCTAATTATAGTCAACATCCATGAAACGATTTCACCTTATCATCCAGGTCGATGATATGCCCCTCCAATTTGACGTTTCCGAAATGGCAAGTAACGGAGACCTGATCTATCAGGTAACAACAGCCAACCATGGCACCCAGAGTATGCACTTCGACAAAGACCTGGGCGTGTACGTCATCGTTCCGTCACCTGATGCCTTCTGGCAAAAGATAGAAAAGGAATTGAGCTACAAGATCCAGTTTGAAAATGGAGGATAAATCTCCTATATCATAAATATATCGGTAGATCTGACCATACGTCAATTGGTCTTTCAGCCACTATTCGGGCACATCAGTTCCGATGCCATCGAGAAAACGTTCAAGCAAGTTGGCAGTGTGCTTTATTGCCTGCAGGACAATTTCTTCAGGGCTTCCCTCAAAGACGATCGATTCTTCAAAGATCTTGTTCTCCCCGAATAGACAGCAAATAAACATGGTCCCCACCGGTTTATCTTCGGTCTCGCTGCCTCCTGGACAGGTAAGTCCGGTCACCCCTATGTGCAGGTCCAGCTTCGATCAGTCCCATCAGACCGGAGGTGATGGCAAAGGTGACCTCTGTAGACTCGGGCGTAAATTCCTCGATCAGTTTTGCGGGTACGTGCAGTACACTTTCCTTCAGACAGGCATCATAGCAGACGAATCCACCCTTTAGGAACTTTCCGGAATCTTTTACCAGGCTAAACTCTGCCGCCATCCTGCCACCGGTGGCACTTTCGGCAAAGGCAATGGTCATCCCTTTTTCGATCAGCTTCTGGCCGCAGGTGGCCACGGTTCTTTCTTCAATTTTGGTGAACAGATCCATATCTCTCATTTATTAGTGGTCTAATTTGCTAACAATGGTTTGCCCATTGGGTTTTAGGGCAAGGGAATAATTTTTTAAACATATCAGTAGCCGCGGCGTTTCCTATATAACATCAAAGTGTTCCCCAATAGACAATCTAAAAACAATTATACCAACCATTAAAAAATCAATTA